CCCCAAAACCCCAAAACCCCAAAACCCCAAAACCCCAACTAGCTCATTTGGAATCGAAATAATATATTCATAATAAAAATGGGTATTAATCATTGATGTCTGGTAAGCGAATTTTCTATGACAATTTGGACAAATCCAAGCTAGTTTAGATCTTTCCTACTAATAAAAATGTCGGGCTCATCAATAGCCAAAAATTGTGTTTAATAATAACCCTCTGCTTGCTTAGTAATATAATATATAGTTGTAGCATGAGGCTCCAAATATGTCTTTCTATGAACTCCTCAAGTCGGTGAAATATGACTAAAATATCAATTTCTTATAAATATCCTGAAATGGCATTTGAAATCAAAACTTTAAATAAGATAGCTAATGTTCATAAATCTGACTTGGATATTATAAAGAAGTAATATAAGATTATATATTTAAGCAAACAAGATCTAATTCACTTGATTTAGAAGAAATGAAGGCAGACTCCCAAGATAAAAGCTAAATCTCAAGGTTAATATTCCTGTTCATCTTATAGGCCGTCAAAGACGATTGGCCTCCTTGTTATTAATGAATGATGGACAAATGCTAGGAATCGGACATGAAGACCTGTTTATGAAATTCCCACCCGGGAAGCCTTTCATTGCACCCTGGAGTATCTCTCAATGGGTAACTTGTATTGACTAACTCTTCAGCATCCGAACAACATGGAGATCAAGATAATCCCAGTCCTACTTATAAGTACGTGCGATCCACTAAATTTAGTTTTCGATTACTTTGACATGGAAGATCTCGACAAGCTGTCACATGTCTGTAAGGTAAATATTAAAAATCAGTAATAGCTATTTTGCAACGTGGCTACCATGGACTGCCTTTATCAGAAATTCGAGGTGATGGTAGACACAGGTTCGGACATTTCCTCTTCGAGTTCGTCGAATAATGACATCACCTACCATTTTATCGATGAAGAAAAAGTTCAATTCAAGAATGGCAAAATCCGGAGTGAACGCAAGACCAGTATCAAAATAATAGAAGAGCTTGACAGTAAATCAGTTTTTACATTATCGTAGCCCTAAACCCAGCCATTAACACCAGACAACCTGCCAAACCAAGAGTTAGTGTCATTAAAGGAGCTGTATTCCAAGGAATTCCAGAGGAAGAAAGCGAATGGGGCGATATCCAATCTGAAGCAGAGGAAGAACATGCAAAAAGTAAAAATATCCAAGACATACTGAACGAGTTTCGAGAGGGAGCTGAAATTAGAACTATTGAGAAGCGACAAAACAATCGTCCGAGCGAGTAATTTCCATACTTTGCTAATTATTAGATTTGCCCGGCTTGATAGTATGAATTCTAAGAAAATTTTTAAACAATGAAGTGATAGGCTTAACCATACACATGTTTTCTCCGAAGCAATGGGGGATGCATACACTGACTCTCAACATATCAACGATGTAATGATGACAATCGGTTCAAGAGAACTAGCTTGCTCTCCCTACAACATTGATAAAGTTCGGATGAAGCAAAATCATAAAGAAGGAAGTATTTATCAGTTCCAGTAAGTCAAATTTGTTCGTGGTTTGCTGAATTCTATCTAGAAAGAAGGAGTCCAGTATTTCGACAACTACTGATAATTATATGCACAAGACTGATAGGGAAGGCTCTATTTTGAGTCTAAGACGTCCTTCAAGTTATGCTTCTAGTAATAAAATGCCAAAGGTTGCGAGGAAGCGTAACACTTTCATCATCAGGCCAGACCTACTCAATAAAATTTCCAAACTAGCTCCAAAGAAAAGTGTCAACTCTTTCAGGAAGGAATCTACTTTGCAAAGTATTCAAGAGCATCCTAGCGAGGATAAAATTGGTGATTTCAGTGGAGCTTCACAGAGTAAGCTTTAACCCTTATTTGTAGATTTGAAACCCAAGAATTTTTTGAAACAGAAGCGATATTCCGTATATCCGATGGACCGCAACAAGTTAGGCCAGTTTAATCACCTAAACCTACTTCAGATGATCCAAAATCCTCGGAGATAAATAATAATTTTTAGCCAACCTTAATTAACCACACGGGGTTTTGGGGTTTTGGGGTTTTGGGGTTTTGGGGTTTTGGGGTTTTGGGGTTTTGGGG